ACACACAAATCTGATGAGCTAATTGCACGTCAACACCGCTGTGAACCTCCACCAGAGTTTCCTCTGGCTCATTTTACTATCTTTCGAGTACCAACATAAATGAAATACACTTACATCGTACTGAAATGCTTTCAGTTTTCATCTTTTTCATTCAAGGATTATAAAAGTTATCCTATTTTTACAACTTTTCCAAACAGCTGTTTCTGCTTTATAGCTTTTTCGCTGCTGAACATAAAAGCTCTATGCCACTGGATAAAATCGTGGAGAAACTTGCTGATAGTTACGGATCTCTGTTATCTGACGGTGCGTCATGTTCGTTGTCTTTCTTACGATCGTTGCATAGTATTTATTTTAGGAGAACTCAGGCTGAACGTGGATCTGCTGCTAGAGATCGCTCCTGAATGTTGCACAAAAATTCGTGTTCACGACAAAGGCGATTACATCAAACTCACTCGCGCCATTTTGGATGAAGCTCTGTTTGAGAAGTTGCGTTCCTTAGCCACTAATTCAGATGTCCCTTAGTTAGTTAGTTTTATTGTAGCTTTATATACTCTGTGCAAAAAGTCAAAGCAATAGGTTATTTATGTCCAGATTTATATCGTTTGTACTTTTTGTAGCATGTCTGTACTTGTCTTTCTGTTATTTTTTTGATAAAATTTTATTTGAGCTCCAAACCGCAATGTTTCCTACGTACTAAGTCTGTATATTTCTAACGAGCATTGCAGGCTTTCTTACATTAATATAACCAGTTTTTCATTAACTTATGTCTTTTCGTGACTTGCATTTTGAGTTATATCAGTATGAAATGGTGAACTGTTGACAGTGGTTATTTCATTTGCGAATTCGATTCCATGTAGTCCAGTCAGCTGAATTTGGATTTTCAGGCTCATATCATAAGACGACAGGGAATGTTGAATTCCTTGTCAAGTATTCTGAATTTTTTCGTACTTAATAACGATGGCGCCATGCTCAGCTATTGTTCGGTGCCTCCCAATGCACATGCAGTTGATTATAGGTGCTTTTTTCTGTCATTTTCTGAGGCTAGTAGAACTTCTACGGTAGCGTAACCCTGACCGTTAAAAATGATACCAGCTTGATTTGGGACTTAGAAACGTTTCTAAACTTCAAGCGATATTGTACATTGTGTTACTTTTTTATACGCACAAGTGAATCAATTCAGACAGACAATGTTAAGAGAATATTTTTCCCGAATAGAGGATAGCTGTTTCTTTTTTCCGATTGATCAACATTGCCTTTTTTGATAATGCGGAGCAGCGATGATCGTTTCAATTGATTTTGAAGCTACTGATAGAGAGGAATGATCTAAAGTGTCGAAAAGTGCTTGATAAACAATTGATAACTGATGCAAAATAATTTGAGATCTTCGAAAATTCTGCCGTGGATACAATCAGATGTTTACTTCCTTTGATCTTTCACAATGTTAATTCTTTTTGTATATTTACAGTATTTCGATTGGCCGGATGTCAGTTCTAAAACTTTACATAGCCAGTTGATATTTCCTCAGTGTGTAATTAAAACTGGCGGGCGTCTTACAGTAACCACGGTGAGTTGCGATTATATATTT